CGCCTCCAAAACCTGCCCGTCATTTCTCATTCAGCCTTGCACTGGCACCCAGCTGGCACCCAGCTGGCCACTCATGTGCAGCCCACTCGCCAGGCCTAATTGCCAAGAGCGGTCACTTCTGAGGTGGCGCCTGTATTGAGCTGAACCCCCTGGGCCTCCACCGTGACCGCACTTCCAGACCAGCCCTCGGACCTCCACCCTCACCTCCCTCCTGCACCCCCAGGCTCAGCCCCTTGGTGCCTCCCTCCAGCCCCAGCCACGCACTGCTGTCCTGCTGTTCTCCCTCCGGCAGCTGGGCGTCCCTGCTGGCCTCAGCCATTCAGTCGGTGAGCTTGGCAGCCAGGTCAGGCTGTCTTACCTCAGCGGGCCCAGTTGTGTTTTTACCTTTTCCTTCTGCCTTCCTGACCTCTGTGACCTCTCAAAGCCTTGAGCTTCCAAGACCAGGGATATGGTGGAAGATGGGGGTGGGCACCTCAACTGCCCATCCCCGCTGGGCACCTCACCTGGCACAGCAGGCTAGAGTCTGTCCCAGACCCCGTGACAGTAGGGGTGTCAGACAGGAGTGTCGTCTGTGACACCTGGCCCGTTTCACTCAGACGCTCATAGATGACCACACCTGACCACACACATGGGTGCTTAGAAGCTGGCTTGCTCGTGAGTGGTCTGCTCACGTGGAAGTCCAGGCCAGCTGTCTCAGGGAGCCGAGTCCTTGACAGTGAGTGTATAAAATGCACATGGAAATGCCTGCACCCCTTAGCTTCCGGGCATCTCCTTCATCCCACAGTGGTCAGGAACTCAGGCCGCAGCCAGACAGGTGAGATTCAAGTCCCAGATGTACTGTGACAAGCGGATGATGCCGGTCAGGAGAGTTACTTCCTCTCCCTCACGCTGCAGTTTCCTCAGCTTGAGGGACATCTCCTGAAGTTGTTAGGAGGACGGAGTATGCCAGCCCATGCGATGCACTCAGCGTGCAGCCCTGGGCCTGGCTGTCAGTGTGTGGTGTAGCAGGTTGGTGCTAGGCTTTCAGCATCCTTGCTCATCACACGCAGGGGCTGCTCTGTGAATGTCCACGTGGAGTCCTGCCTGATGGATGGACGCAGAGCAGAGGAAGCTGAAGGGCGGGGGGCTTACATGCCAAGCCTGCGTTCTGAGGGTAGCAGAGTCTTGGCTGTCATGTTCCAGTTGGGTTTGGTGACAGCACAAACGGTTGTGTTCCTGGTGCTCACCAGCACTCCATCAGGGCGTCAAGACTGGCTTTTCCAGAATGTTCACTGCTTTCAGAGGGGTGTGGACCAGGAAGGAGAAGATTCTCCAAGGCCTCAGTTCCTGTTCCCTCCTGACTTGTGAGAGCTTCTGGGGTCCCGTTTGTGACTGCCGTGGAGAGAGGCTCTCAGGGCGGAATTCCTCCCCAGCTGAGTCAGCCACATGCAGCAGGACTCCTTCGCACGGGGGGCACCTGTCTGTCCTGGGGCCAGGGACCACCAAGGGTGGCTGTCAGGAGTACTTTCTGGGGAGACCCCAGCATCTTAAGAAAGAGCCCAGAGGGACCCACTCCAGGCCAGCCACAGTGATGTCTGCGAGCACAGTGTACTTGGTGGTCCCAGCAGAGTGGGATACATGAGGGGTTCAGAATCAGCTTGGAGGGGGGCGACTGACTCTGGGCTGACAATGACAGGGGCAGGTCTGCCATCCTGGTAGACAGGAGCATGCCACTCAGGACTCCTAGAGGGTTCATGTACATGAGTGTGCATATGTGTACGTGCATATATGAGTGCGTGTGTGTGTGAGTACATGTGTGGGAGGGAGTGTGCATGTGTGTGTGAGTGCATGTGTGTATATGCGTGTGAGTGGGTGCATGTCTGAGCCCGTGCATGAGTGAATGCATGTGTGTTTGAGTGTGTGTGCGTATGTGTGTTCCTACATAGAGCCAGCAAACATGAAAAATTAATGAGGAGTCATCCTTTTCCGAGCTAGCTGAACTAGTTTCACTAGTACCTTAAAATGCTATTTTCTTGCCTCTCTTAAACATATTCTACCCGTGGTGCTCTGGCCTTTCAGAGCTGACACCCCCTGCCCCACCCCACCCCATGCTGGCTGGCCCCACCGTGAGCCACTCTATGTCGGCTCTCACACGCTGACCCTGCCTGGAGCTCTCGTTCTGGCCTTGTCCCTCCCTGGCCTCGTTTACACACACCCCCTAGCCAGTCTCGCTGAGTGATAGCTGTCCATCTCTCCTTCCGCCCACTGAGCATTCTGTGGAGGTGGGGAGCCTTTGTCTGCACTCAGCAGCCTGGCCCCAAGCACTCATGGACTGAAAACCAAGGAAGGGACACATCAGCAACGCAAAAGGCTGTCCCCCGGTGAGGGATAGAATTTCCCCACCGAGTGGGAAGGATGGCAAACAGGGTGGGGTGCCTCCTGTCCTTCTCGAATGGGTGTTGTGTGGCCATGTTTGGGATGTAAATTTGGGTGTGAGTAGAATGGCAAGGCCCTGGGCAGTGCACCCCAAGAAGGAGGGAGAGTAGTGGGCCGACACTCAGGCTTCCTAGCAGAGGGGCTGCTTGTTCCATTTTATGGAGACATGGTGAGGCACACAAGACACTCAGCTCTGGGCGAACATTCTGGAACCATCGACTGCTTTGGAAGTGACCCTGAATGTGCACTTCCTTCCGCAGTAATGGGCAGGGCTTTAGCTACAATTAACATTGAGCCTTTTGAGCTGGGTGCTCCGGAAAGGCTGGTGTTTCCTTTGGTTCTCAACGTCGAATGCTGACGCACGCTGATGCTATCACACACACTGCATCTTCCTGGGGCACCATCAGACAGCGCGTTGTGTGGACACCTGCTCTGACTCCTGTGGCCGCTTCATGCACAGCAAGAGGGGGCGCAGACAGCTGACTCAGATGCAGACATGGGGCTCTGTCACCGTGTGGCCGCCCAGGGGCCCAGTGCCTCGGCCAGGCCTGGTTTAGCTTTTCGCTGCCTCAGCTTTTTTGTTCCCTGACTAGCTTGGTTTGTCGCCAGACCCAGGGAAAACAAAAAACTTCCTAGGGAACTCAGGGCCACACTGAGACCAGTCAGGTCTCTGTTCCAGACGCTGAACCCCATGGCCCCCCCGACCAGGCATGGTCCCACCTAAAGGGAAGTCCTCTGCCACAGACATTAACATGGCAGCCGGGTCCTTTCTGAGGGAGGAGCCAGTGGTGGTTTTTTACTTTCCACATTGGGTCTGTGGAACAGTGGGGGCCCTTGGTGGGCAGGAGTCCTAATTAAACATGGAAAAGTCCCCCCACGTCTCTGTGGCACACAGGTTCGCATGACCCTGGGCACTCTTGTCCTCATGCGGCTACTGGGCGGCTGGCCTGAGGGAGCAGCTCCACTCCCCGCAGCACCTCGTGTGGCATCTCATGTGAGAGAGAGCTCACCTTTCACTGTCAGCCTGGTCCCTCTGGGGTTTGTGAAGCTGGACTGCAAAGAAGGAATGGCTGGAAGTCCTGCTTCCAAGAGGGGAGATGTTGTCTGACTGCTGTGTCCACTTCCATGACGGGTCTGACTTTCAGGAGACAGCTCCCCCCAAAGGCAGCATCTCTGTTTGGCCCCCACGGTTCTGTTTGACTGTGCAGTTGGGTTGCCACTGGCCAGGAGTCAGTCATTTTTCCAGATCCTCATTACATCCCAGGGGCTGTGGATGAAGGCAGCACCCAGGAGCCCCTTCTGCCCGTCCTGCACATAAATCCCACCAGCATATCTCCCTGGCCAGTGATCTTTGTGGGCTTGTTTTTATTCACTGTGACACAGACAGACTAGCAGTGACATCCGAACCTGGAGCCTCATGTATGCCTGCTTCAGGAAGAGAGAGGCGCCTTGCCTTTCCATACGCCTGCAGGGCCGAGCCACAAGGATACTGAGTGACTGGACATTGACAGTCTGTCCTGTACCTCTCCTGCCGGTTCTTGCACACCCCACACTCCCTCAGGACGCTACCAGGGTAGGTCGGGTGGGGGCCCCAAACCCGGCCTCCAGCCGTGAGGTGACGTGGAGCAAGCACCCAGCAGGTGCGGCAGTTCTCTCTGAAGCTGTGGTCTTTGAGGCCTTCTCGGCTGAGGAAGTGGCACTATGCACCGTGCAGGCACTGTGCAGTTATCGATGGAGCCTAGTCTCGCTCACAGAGGCTCCTCCAGTTTGGACTCTAAGGTCTCTAGCCACCCCAGATCCGCATGAATAGCCAGGGAGCCTGGTTGGAGTCGCTTTCCACTCCCTGGCTGGGCAAGAGGCTGGCCCAGAAGGCTGTGGCCAATTTGCTGCTGAAGGCCTGCCCCCGCTGGACAGTGCAGATAGCGGACAAGCGGGTAGGCATCAGATCAGCACTGATGATAAGTCTCCACAGATAAAGTATCAAAGACGCTGCTCTGGTGAGATCAGTGCCCTGCAGAGAGGAGCTGTCTCTCCCTGCCCACCACAGGAAGGAGCTCGGAAGTTTCAGACTGATCCAACTCTGTGGCTCCTGCTGCTGTGAGGTTTCGGAGCGTGAAGGCCATCACCTTCTTCCATGTAAGCCCAGGAACCCCTCTCCATGCTGCGGGATTTTCTCTTCCAGACACCAGCTGCCCAAGAAGAGGATGAACCACAGACTGGCTATCTCCATTTAGACATAATTTCGGAATTTACTAAAAATATTTTTAATCGTGAAACGAGTGAAAGCTATAAATAATCCCAGTGACCCAGGAGAAGGTCGTCAGGCCCGCAGGACACAGAGGAGCCGGCGTCCGGGGGTGGAGAGGCCGCCTGCCCATCAACAGGTTAATGACCACAGCCAACTGGCCGCTCGTGAGACCTGGCCCGCCCCTGCTCCGTGACACGCGGGGGCGGACGCCGGTGGGGGGTGCGGGGACTCAGGCCTGAGCCCAGAGACCCCTGGACAGGCATTTTGTCCATAGTCCGGGCCCAGCCCCGGAGTTGCAGCCTGTCCCGGCCCGCCCCAGCCCCAGCCCCTCACTCACCGGTCGCCGTCCCCCCGCGCGCCGACAGGTCGGGCTCCGCTGCTGCAGCACTCTCCACTGCTCACGGCACGCCGCCCAGGCCGTGTGTACACACGTGACCGCCCCGCCCCGCGGCCTCCGAGCGACAGTGCCGCCAGCCATTGGCCCTGGAGCGGCGTCCGACCATGGGGCTGGGTGGTGGCCAGCGGCCCGTTATGTAACCCGACACCGGGCCGAGCGGTGGAGGGGCCCTGCAGTTGCCGGTGCTGTTCTGCAAACCCCAGGACCTGGGAGACTTCCCCGGACCTCCTGGCGCCCACTCAATTACTTCTCAAAAGCGCGGTACCGATGCTGCTGAGTCACCGCACATGCTAATCTGCAGGATGCAGACCCCCCCGCACCCGTGAAGGAAGCAGGCGGGTGGTGAGCATCTCATAGCAGATACACCTGTTCCTGTTTCTGCCCCAAATTTGCTTGCTGTTTGGAAATTCACCCTAGCTTCCTGTTTTAGGAATTTCTTTGTAAACTGAACCGACCCCAGGAAAATGATTTTAAAGAGACAGTGCAGCCTGACTGGTTGTGTCACCGTTGTGTAAGTTACACGTTGGGAAAGTTAAAAGAGCAAAGTTACCCACACACCCCCCAGCTGTAACTTTGTGGCAGAGTAGCACCTTGACAGACAGCACATTCTCACTCAAGATCTAAGATCATTTCCTTCTGAAAATCCAAGTGTGAAGGTTGCAGAGTGCAATGCAGGTTTGCCTTGTGACCAGGTGGAAGGGACAGATAAGAGGAGCCCCACAACTGGCCCTGCTTCGCCCATGCTGGGGACCTTGCGGGACGGGGGAGCTGCCTGCCCATGGGACCAGAGAACAAAGCTGGTGTCAGCTCAGGCCAGGTTCCCACCTAGGCTGAAGGGCAGAGCTTCATCCTCTGTCCAAGGCACTGGGGGACCCCTGGGGCCTCCCCTACCTCCTTCGCCCTGTTGCCATCACCCCAAGTTGCTCCTCAGTCCCAATTTCAAGCTTCTGTAGCAGCGGGGGCCGTGCAGCAGCCACATGGCCTCAAGGCCATAGGTGCCAGCCTTACTTACTGTCTTAGTTATTTAGTGCTGCTGTCACAGAAATACCACAAGTGGATGGCATCAACGAACAGAAATTTATTATCTCGCAGTCTAGTAGGCTAGAAGTCCAAATTCAGGGCGTCAGCTCCAGGGGAAGGCTTTCTCTCTGTCGGCTCTGAAGGAAGGTCCTTGTCATCAATCTTCCCCTGAACTAGGAGCTTCTCGGCACAGGGACCACCAGTCCACAGGACACACTCTTCTCCTGGCACTATTTTCTTAATGGTATGAGGTCTCCATCTCCCTGCTCTCTTCTTCTGTATCTCAAAAGAGATTAATTTAAAACACAACCTAATGTAGATTGAGTCCTGCCTCATTAACATAACTATTGCTTATCTCACCTCAAACATAATAAAGGTAGGATTTCCAACACAGGAAAATCACATCAGATGACGAAATGGTGGAGAGGCAAACAATACTAGGAATCATGACCTAGCAAAGTTGACAGATATTTTGGGGGAACACAATTCAATCCATGACTCTTAAAAATGGTCCTTGTTAGTCAACAGTGATACCCAACAGCTCATGAGGACTTACTGTGGCCAGGTTCTGTGTAAAGCCCTCCAGACAATCCCTTGAGGACGACATGCCCATGTTTCATCGAATCTAAGACCCATTAACACAAAGTGTACACTGTTTTATGTACCACTAAAAAAGCAAAACTGTCTGCTGACTTAAACCCTGAGACCCCAGTAGTTCTAAGAAGCATCCCGATTTTGTTGTTAGGTTGTTGTTAGGTGCCATCGAGTCAGTTCTGACTCATAGTGACCCTGTGTACAACAGAAATGAGAAAAACAAAAAAAAGTGCCTTGGCATCAGTGAAATACAGTATCCTTATCCTTATCTTAAATCTCACTGAGGCTCAGAAAACCTGATTGACTTGCCCAGGGTCACACAGCAGGGCCAGGATCTGATCTAGGTGGTCTACAGACCAGCAGTTGGGAATTTGAGTCCTCCTGACAATCTACTGTGGGGCAGTAGTGGCTCAGGGGTAGAATTCCTGCCATCCACGCAGGAGATCCGGGTTCGATTCCTGGCCAGTGCCCCTCATATGCAGCCACCACCCTGTCAGTGGAGGCTTGCATGTTGCTATGATGCTGAACAGGTTTCAGTGGAGCTTCCAGCTAAGACAGACTAGGAAGAAAGGCCTGGTGACTGACTTTCAAAAACCAGCCAGTGAAAACCCTATAGGTCACAACGGTGTGATCCACAGCTGTTCACGGGGGTGTGTTGTAGGGTAAAAACATCACAAAGTTTAGTAAAGCAAAAAAGAAAGTTTTATTTGGCATATATTAAAAAAGGCAGAAGTGGGAAGCAGAAAAGCATGCTGCTAGAGCCATGCCTGCGAGTCCAGAGAATATTATAGAATAGGCAAGAATGGGAAAACGGAGGAGTATGCTATTAGAGCCATTGTCTGCCCAAATCCAAGGAATGTTACAAAATCATCAGTATATATTAACATTATAAATGGGCAAAACCATTGAAAGCTTCACCTGTTCACACACTGGCTAGAAACTGATTCTACATTTTGAATTGTCTTTCTTAACAATCATGGGTACAGGTATCAGTAAAGACAGTCAGGAGGGTCCTCACTGGTCCAACAAATGTTCTATTCACTAAATGCTAACAGAAAAAGATAAGAGTTGTGGAAACTCTTTTGTGTCCTGTTTTATGATTTGTTTACATGAAAATGAAAGGTTCCCTAAAAGATGTTTTCCAAGATCATCCTAGCTATTGTCTTTATACCTCAGGGCCCAGTTGATGTGTCCTTGCGAGTCCTTGTGAGTCCAGCTCCAGCTGGGTCACATTTTAGAACAAGGAATAATGGCTCCAATATTATCTCCTACATCAGATGGCACAGGACTGGGCAGTGTTGCACATGGGGTCACCATGAATTGGGGCCAAATCGACAGCAGCTAACAACTACAATAATCTGCTGCATAAATAAGTGTTGTTATCACCATTGTATTCACGGCCTATCACCTGAGAACTCCTGACCCGAGTCCACCTGTGCTGGCCTGGTACCTGGAATGTGAGGTGTAGGGGATCTCCCTACGAGGTGCACCGTGGCGGTAGAACTGCTTGTTTATAACGCGTCGGGGACGAGGGAGAGGCTAGAGGTCCGGCTGTGTCTACGCACTTAGCACTCAGGGTCGCCGCAGGCTTTGTTATCTACAAAGAGGAGTCCCCCCTGCCAGGTAGGCAAATGCAGTCAGGGAGAATGGCAGAAAGCCTGTGTGTTGTGGAAATCCTTGCAGCGAGCCCACCCTACCAAGCCAAGAGAAGCATCTTACGGCTGGGCTGTAAATACCACTGTGGAGGGCTGCAGCCCTGTGACTTGCTGCTGAGTGGTGCTGGACTCCTGGTGAGCAGCCCCCGTCCTGGGGAGAGGAGTGGGCTTCTGCTGCTGGCGTGTGGAGGGGGCAGAGCTGGGCCTGCATCTTGGGCTTCCAGCTGCCGCACAGTCCAGTGCTGATGTCTGAACACCCCTGGAGGTGGCCTGCATCCTGGCGAGGACTTCCGGAGAGCAGGAGGTACGTGTCCCGGGCCAGGCTGTGCCCATCACTCTGTGTGTGTGGGGGG